CCCCCCGTCTTCACGATGCTGTTACAAAGAACGTTTGTGAACTGAATATATCAATAATTCTTCAAAAAGAAGCTAAACAAGGGGCCGTCTCACAAAGTCATCTGATAGATCCACTTGAGAATGGACATCATGCCAACGACCAATCAATACCAGGGTTTTTGACAATGTATTGTTTGCTACAGTTAATTGTCTGTACAGCGTTACTTTCTCGTTTTATTTTAAAATACTTTTTCATAGACTTGTTTTATTTCTTCATTATTTGTTACTTTCCATGTTCTTGTTCTTCTTTTTTACTTTGTAACTTCTATCATGCTCCTGTCAAACTCTCAATATTTTGGTTTACGTCTTTATATCATTTATAACTTTATTTTGTTCATGTCATTATGGTTTTTTTTTTTTATAGTAGAGGGTTTTACGGCGTTCATCACAGAGCGGAGAGGAAAGACGATGGTGACAATCTGAGAAAATCAGAGGACAAAGAGAAATGTCGAGAGCTGGTTTTCAGATCCAGTGGTGCCCCCACGGTTGCCCCAACCACGAGATAGAAGAAGAAGAAGACTATGACAATTTCGAGTGCATGTCTTACGTTGGTTCGCACTTGAACGAATATCTTCTAAATCGAACTGATAATCTGGAGTCGAGGAGTGTACAGTAAAAAAATACATCTTAGCATAATATACATTACCTTGACACTACTTTTTCTGATTAGTGGATATTTATAATAGACAATAGTTACTCGCCTACAACTGATCGTTTACCAAATGGCATCAGGAGTAAATTGAACAATGGAAACAACAACAAAAATAAAGAAAACCACAGAAAATATGTACACTTTCAACTGAGCTTGAAAATTCCACAAACAAAAACGACACTCAGCAGTCATACAGATCTTGACCCAGATCGTGTAAGGAAAGAAAAACTTATCAATAGTTCCGATACTTGCGAGTATCTACAAAAAAACTCAGGGAAAAGCCGTAAGAGAAAGGGGGGAAATATTGGATCTTGAGCAAGAGCAGACCAGGTGTGCAATTTCTGGAGTAACTGAACCACTAAATAAATGGAGATTACAACTCATTTATTCATTTTTACTCGTTGCTGACTGAAACACACCCCTTAGTGGAATACCTTTCTTTGCCGCAAGTCTTTAAGTACGTGTTTCTAGATAGATAGATAGATAGATAGATAGATAGATAGATAGATAGATAGATAGATAGATAGATAGATAGATAGATAGATAGATAGAGATAGATAGAGAGAGAATGAGAGAGAGATAAAGAGATAAATAGATAGATAGATTCAGACAGCGACAGATCAAGGGATAGAAAGGTAAAAACGACGTAGACAGACAGTCAAGCACACAAAGATAGAGATAGACGCATAAAGAGAGAATGGAAGAGATAGAAAAACGGCACTAGTCAGCAAGAAAAGAAGGAACAATCACCCATCTGGTACCAGAGGCCAAAAGAATTACCAGTGCTTGGTGCTAGTCTGGTGAGCACAAGTGGAAAAGGATCTCGGAGGAGTGGCAAGATTGTGAGTCTGGCTCCAACACTGCGGCGGTGTCTTGGGGAAGGTATGTCCATTCCTCCTTGGTTATCACCATGACCTTAGAGAAAGCGGGTGTGCGTCAGCTGTTATGGTGTATGTGTATGCTCGTGTGCACAGGTAGATGTAAGGATGAGAGACAGAGGGGGAGAACGTGGGAGGATAAGAGTGAGCGAGAGGAGAGGGAGGGAGACAGGGAGGGGGCAGAGGAGAGGCAGAGCAAGGGGTGGGGGCGAGATGGGGGGAGAGAGAGAGGTAGAGAGAGAGAGACAGAGAGAGAGAGAGAGAGAGAGAGAAAGAGAGATAGATAGAGACAGCGACAGAGACAGAGACAGAGAGAGAGAGAGTGGGAGAGAGAGTGGGAGAGAGAGAGAGACAGAGAGAGATAAAGGGAGTGAGCAAGAGATAACATAGATAGATAGATAGATAGATAGATAGATAGATAGATAGATAGATAGATAGATAGATAGATAGATAGATAGATAGATAGATAGAGTATGAGTGTACGAGTGCGTGAGTTTTCTAAGTAAATTGAGTATGCGCCGTGTTTGTGAGTTGTGGTCGGGTGGAGAGGGTGTGGGTAATAAGTTTTGTGCGAATTTGTATGAACATTTTTCTTTGGTATGAGTTATGACAGGAATTATTATTGAAATACGCGTTGCCGAAGACTGACAAAAGCGCACCCGCGATCGCGCGCACGCGCACGCGC